CAGGTATGCCTATAACACGCACTAAGCTAACTCCATTCCTACAGCGGCACTAACCCTTTTAATATAAATTGGAGGTGTACTTGTGTAGCAGGGCCCTTCCCAGGTCCACGTTACACAAAATTGTTAATGTTTATCATAAAGTTAATACTTGGTCCACCTTAGAAACAAAAGGCTAGATTACTGTAGTAAATTGTAAACAGAGGACACTCCGATTTCTTTAATTACTGCGGATAATTGACTCCTGAGTGTTTTGACTCTCTTCAGAGAGAAATGCGGAGTGTGCATCTTTGTAGATAAATCCTGTACTTTTTGTAAATAATCTGACAAGGTTTACCACATGAGGCCAGCTGTTCTCTCTGAAGCAGTGTGATGTTCCCTTTTGTATACCACGCGGTCCCCTTCCCCCCACACCTTTACTGTTTACCTATTCGCAAGTCTGGCTTTATAGGCTTTCAGTGACAAAGTCCCGTAAACATGTTTTTCCGATATCCCTTAAAAAGGCAGATATTCCTAAAAGAGAACCCCGTATGAACATGGGGGTCGCTTCAATGACGACAGGTTTGAAGAAAAAAATACACATACACCGACAAACGAAATTGTTGTGATGAAAGCAAGAATTACTGAGTACAGTTGGGTGGAACATAATGCTGGCTTGAGTGCTATTTCTACTTCGGGTTTCAATGGATGAATTCAAAACGCTTTAGAGACCTCGCTTGGAAATCTTGGTAGGGGCATTGTTCAGATCTTGGGAGCTTGTGATGCCAATGTGGAAACCCATGAAGCATTTTCTTTTAGCTACGCACCGTCACAACCAACGTATTGAGGATGAACAGCAAAACACCAGAAAGTTGTGTCATGCTTTAATATGGAGCAGTTGTACAGGCTTTTCCTGGAAGCTCCACGTCCGTGCAAGTCAGACAGGAGTCTTCCTGAGAATTTATAGTTAACAAAGCTCAGAGTGGAGACAAAGGGCTCATTGATTTGCCTGCAGATTATCAGTCTCTTCAGACAATCCCCCAGTGTCAAAAACATTTGCAAAATATCGTCACCGTCATTCACAACATGCATCTGGCCGCAGACTCTGACATATAAACAAGCCGCCGATGTATTCTGTAGGTGAAGAGACGTCGCCCATCCTCTCTTGTGCCGTGATTCATGGCCAGCTCAAAATCCTACCCGTCAAAGGAGCTGCTTGTGTACAGGGGAGATAAGATGGCATCGACACCGCCGTATTTCTTCGAGTGCTCTTCACTTGCTGTCAAAAAAAACAAAATTAAATGGCAAATTAGAGCTCCCTAGAGGTGGAGCATCCATGTGACACTGAAATCTGTTTTTCCGGGTAAGGTGTATAACATCATCATGTGTTTCCCTCAACCCTAACACTCCCAAATCCTACAATTTCAATACGATTTTACATACACCCTAGAGGGTTCCAGGATGCAGATTAGACCCAGTCTAATAAAGTTCTTTTCAGACACTGTTTATCTATTTATGAATTTCTTATGGTTAACGTTGAGATCTCCTGATCATAGGGTCGGGGGTTCGAATCCAGCAGCCGGTTACGTGTTGTGACCTCGGGCAAGTCACTTTACTCCCTCTGGCCTGTCTCCATCCAGGAGGATAAATGGGTTTTTGTGATGAGGGCACAGATGGTTGGTTTGGCCGTTTGCTCTCAAAACGCCTGTATGCTGGTAACTGAGACGGCTCTTGGCTTGTGTATTGCCTGGTGAGCAACTTACAAAGCACATTGAAAACTGTTGGTATTGAAATGCACTATATAAGTATGGAATAAAGTTATTATTTAGGCCTGTTTCACATCCTTTGAGAAAAAAAAGTAACAGAATTTAAGAAAAATGATGAAGCCTACCAGAACCCTGTGAATATCCAAAACGAGGTTAATACATTTTTTGGTACTTTTCTGGGGTCGTTCCTTTATGGCTTACATGAAGTACACATAGAGGTGAAAAGAAAGCGCTTGAAAAAAGAGTCAAAGACCCCCCCGCTGGAAGTCTTGAGCAAAACCGTTTGCACGGATTAAAGCGGAACTTTTCAGAAACTGATCTTTTTTTTCCAATTTGACCAAGTCAGGACTTTTTTCTATTTACCGTCTCAGATATTCCGTCTAATGTGATAATATCCTTTCCAAATCCCCAACTTCCCAGCCTAATCACCGTACTTCCTATTGATATGTGAAGCTCACGTCCTGTAATGTATAATTAATAGCAGACTTCAACTGGTAGCGATAATGTCACTGGCAGGTGTCTTTCTCAGATGTCAACCAGTAACATGACATCCTTAACATTAAGAATCAAGGTTTAAAATAAGACCTTAGAGATCTTGAAGAAGATTCACATTTTATTAAGGGATTTAGTCAGTGGATTGTGTCTGTGTTATTCGTCGAAGATGTTGCTTACAGTTTGAAGATTCATAACAATGAAATTAGAAAGTAGACTACATCTAATGATTAGAAAAAAAGCTCACAGTTTTCCCTCAGAACCTTTACACACTCTTATCAGATCATAAATCCACCTAGAAAAGTGTACTTCGTGAATTTGAAGATCTGTTTTTGGACAGTTCTAGACAGGCAGTGGACCCATGGAGCAGGTCAACCCACAAACGGAAAGCTCTTCATGAGCACCGCCAAACTGGCAAGCAGCTAAATTCTCAAGATGGTGAATAACACGGCACTGATCAAAACAAAATGGCTGCATTTCACCCCCAGTCTTGTCTGTTGGACTAATGAGGGATTGCCCTGTTCAACGGAAAGCTGCTGTCGTCCAAAATCTCACCAGTGGCCCGTCAGGAACAAGCCTTGTTTCTTTATTTAAACCCGTGCGGATTGCATAGAAAGCTTTTTTGCTGCACTGACGTGCCATTAGCTCCATAGAAGTGGTATGGCTTCAGGTAATGAGTTTAGTACATTGTGGGGAGCAGCCAAATGGCCAAAAGTGCCCCAGGTGGGTTGTGGGAAGCAGTCTGCCTGTCTCGCTGCCCATTCTGTAGGTAGTCATTATTTCAACCAAATGAAAGGGGGAAAAAATAAGCTTTATTTTAAAAGCTGCATCCAAGGAATGCGAGTGTTAAGGCAGGGTCGCGTAGGAGGACCAAACGTGCAAAGTTCACTGCGGAGGTAACCCTATTTTTGGCAACATCAGTAGATTTGTACTAATGTTTCTGGGTGGAAAGGAACATTCCCGTCATCGCCACTCAGAGAAATGAGGTTTGACACTGCCGAAAACATCAGGGGGAAGTTGGGATCACGGTGACATGTTGATAAGGCATGGGTGTTCACTCACTGAAAAGAAAGCCATGTGGGTGCAGCATACAAAGTAGCCAGGGTGAATATGTTAAATGTGAGAGGTGTGACATAGAGACTTGCTCATGGCATGGCTGTCAACATTGAGTTAGAGGTCGGGATTTCTCATGGCCTCCGCTTATGGAACACCGTTGATAATGATATCAGAACAGTACCATCCATGGACCCTGCCTCTCCTCAGCCATTTTCTCAGTTTCTCTCTTTACATTGTTTTTAAATATACTGCTTTCACTCAATGCATCATCCTTTTAATTAACTTGCTTCATAGAATCTGTTCACTTTGTCCTGTCCTGTGCCCCGTCTCCAGCATGTATGTTTCCATTTGTTCTAGTGTTTGTTATCGTGCTTATTTCCCTCCTGTATTGCATGTGTACAGTACGTGCGGGCTGTCCTCTCTAAGCCTTGACCTTTATGACTAGCCCCATGCTCTTTCAGCCTCTTTCAGCATCATTCCTTGTTTACAGTTTCAGACATGCTCTATTACTATTGGCTTATAATCACCTTTTTTTGATCTGGATTTTATTTATTTTTCATGTAATTGTGAAAAGTCTGGCATTAGCGAGGAATGCTGCTTTTGAATTGAATTGAAGAGGAAGTTGGCCAGTGTTAGGGGGGATGCACTCACTATGCACTCGCCTCGTGGTGTTTCATTGCATGATGCGATTGTTCGTGTTGGTGTTCCGGCTCGGTAGTCGTTGCTAGCTTAATCCACAGTGAACTCGAGGACTGCCATTTACTGATGTCCTGACGAAGTGAGTCCACCTCGTATAGCAAGGGTGTTGCCAGGAATTTGGGGGTTTTTTTGGGGGGGGGGAGAATTTCCAAGGGAAGGAATTTCTGGGGGGAAGACTCATCAGCAATAACCTAACAAAAAAAGTAAACCATTAAGGGTTGAAAAGGTTCATTTGTTAGGTTTGTCAAACATTTTAAACATTTCTTTTGTCTTTTTCTAATCACATTTTTCCCTTTAAATTTTTTTTCCGGGGGCAATGCCCCTCCCTCCATCCTCCTCTCATTATGCCCATGCTTCATAACCAGTTCATGGTAGAGGAAAGACAAAGAATATGGCAGTCTGTAATTACCAAAGATCGTATAGCGTCAAAGGTGCAAGATGGATAACTCTGCCCAAAAGGTGTAATTACCATGGGCGCCATTTGAGCAAGCGATACGCCTGTGCAGTTTACGATAATACTTGAGCGCAGGCTCACCAGGTGCACGTGCCTGCTGCGGCACCTGCGCCTGTGCATTAATGGGCATTGCGCAGGCGTTCGCTTGCTCAAACGGCGCCCATGCAACTACAACGTTTTACGTGTATTCACGACGAAGTTCGCCATCTTGCGCCGCTATGCGGTGCTATACGATCTTTGGTAATTACAGGGACTGTAACTGAGCAGCCAGCAGAGGGCAGCAGAAATTTGCGTGTACAGGCCTGTGTGTCATTGTCTCTTCTCCAGGTCTCTTCAGACTTGTGAGCCACTGTGTCTGGGTTTTTTTTTTCAGGAATCTTTTTGTCCTTACCAGAAATATTATGAAAATAATGATAATAATAATCTCCCGTTGTTTTGTACTTGTGCTCAAAATCCAGGAATTCTTTGGAGGAGAGGTTAATCCGTTGTAGCTTTTGGAAAGTGTGATTGTATTCCATGAATCTTACGTGTTTATTTTGCTCTTGTCTGTTTCACAGCTTGTAACTGCCATCCCGTCGGCTCATCTGGCACGGTCTGCAACCAGACCACTGGCCAATGCCCCTGCAAGGACGGCGTGACCGGAATGACTTGTAACCGGTGTGCCAAGGGCTACCAGCAGAGCCGCTCCACCATTGCACCCTGCATAAGTAAGCCGTCTGGAAACCAGACTCTTTTTTTTTTTACATAGCCCTTACCATGTTAAGAGTTGCACTGCATGAATAAGTACTAATATATGAAGTTACTTTTGTTTTGCACCCATTTATCCATTCTAACCACCTCAACATTCTTGTAAGCATCGACATTTCTCTCTCCTAGATCACATACCCTCATGAAACTCATGCACTATCAAAGGAAACGCCAGTTACCATAGTACAATCCTCCATCATGCGTTATTTCATTGGACTGAAAATGTTTGACCAATCAGTTTACCATATCAAACCGTCAATGAAGGTTCTTTTATCTCTAGTCGTTTATCATTGTAATTTTCAAGTAGTTCAAGGTGATAGTAGTGTCAAAGTTTCACCCGTGGATTTGTTTCATGAAACACTTCACGATCTTTTCAGGACCTGTGTTTTTATTTCAACAGTTCTTTCATTGACATTGCAGAATTAGTTTGTCGTGTACAATCAAGCTCACCGCGTATCATCGCCAGTTCACCGCGCATTGCATGGCTGTCCACTCACCAAACATATTTTAATGTGCATGTCCAACCCTCGGCCCCCGATGAGTGTTTCACATCGGTGTACCGATTCAACATTATCGATACCACATGACATGAAAGGGAAATCTTGCTGCGAAGTTAAAAATCGCGTAGAAATTAAAAGAAGACAATCACGTGTCAAGATCCTTGAGCTGAAAAGGATGTCCCGATATAAAGGTGGTCCATGGCCACTGAGAGAGTCTATGATATTTACATGTAACATGTTGAAGCTGTGAACTTTCAAAAATGTCCCGATCTAAACATTGCGTAATCGATGGAAGGAAAATGGTTCTTCGTCAAATGATGCGTGACAAATGTCCCAAGCAGAGAAATTTGAAGAACGTCATGAAGGGGTTTAATGTTGAATCTTGTTGTTTTGTTTTGCCCAAGCAGCCTAAGCCCTGCCCCCCCTCCCCCACAAAGCAGCCTTAGCCGTCCCCAGCTGTGCCGTTCTCTTATTTCCGTCGAGTGAAGTTTCACCATACGCTTTTCTGAAACTAGGGACTTTGTGCTTTTGCAAAAATGCAAGATTTGAAAAAACAAACCCAGATTACAGATACCCAGTTTTATTTCACCTTGTCCCTAGTTCAATAGGTGATACTAGAAGGAAATTTCACTCCTTGTAAATAAGAGTACGCACTCTTTTAATACGAACTCAAATAATGCCTTTAAAACTAGTAATTTTCATATTCATTTAATAGAATTGTTTTTAAAATGTTAGTGTGGCAGGGCAGATCAGTGTGTTTTATTACTGTCAGTTTTCTTCATTTATATGTTTTCTACTTCAGTTTTTTGTTTTTTTCACGATGCCTTTTGAATTTATCTGCTGTGTGCTCATTTTTTTTTTATTTTGAAATCATCAGCTACTGTTGTGCCCAACTTAGATGGACAGGACCTTGAATGGGGTGATTCTGGTAAACCGGGAATTTTTTTTGTCCGTTTTTTTTGCCTTGCTCTCTCTGAGCATGGATCGATATCTTCTGACCAAGAATGACCTTTTCCTTTTTTCAGTTGCTCAAGTTCTGTTAGACTGTAGCCGTTTTTCCCTTCTTCCTATCTTTTGCAAGAGAGAAACCAGAAAGATAGCTTTTAGTTTAACTGCCTGAAGATTGGTACATGTTTTGAAACATTTGCTTCCTGCTAGATCAATGTTTTGTCCTTTTTTGGTGATTTTTGTCTGCATCACACTTCGCTCAGGGGCTTGTGTGTTGTATTAGTGTATATTTGGGTAGTGCATCCGGTAACAGGGTCCATGTATGTTTCATTCATTCATTTTTCATTTTTTTTTTCAAAACGGAATGCAAAAATTGAAAAATTGCCGTGTTCTTCATTTTCACATTTAAAAATGAAAGAATAGAAACGATAGCTTTGAGTTTGAAATATGAAAAATGAGAACAACTTGTTTCTCTTTTTTATTTGGCATTTTGAAGTAGATAAACGAAAACCATTTAATTGTTTTGCCCATACACTGACATGTATTTAGTACATGTTGAACAATTGTTAGATAACTTGTTTTCAGTTTTTGTTTTCAAATTTAAAAAGAAGGGAAACAATCCTTTTTTTCTGCTTTTGGTTTTTCATGAACAAAATGTACATGGACCTATCCAGTCTGTAGTATATGATACCGGTAGCCCACAAAGCTTGGTCTCATTCTGCAACCTGGGGCTTTAAACTGTAGGCAGGGTACCGGCAACTCCCGGTTTCTTTTCTAATGAACTGTAAAAGGTTTGGTGTATATGGGAGCGTTAGGGATTTTAACCAATCGAGTTGTACCGCTGGTGTTCTCTGCTTTGACACATTGTAGCCATCACATGTCACAAGATTGTTGGAAAAGATGGAGAGATGCATATTGTTCCTATTTTCCAAATCAAATCAGCCATTGAGTTCAAAACAAGCCTCTTGATGTTTGAAGAATTTCCCAGATTTCTGTCTTTTTTTCTCGTTACGCACTTCCTTGCTCGATTTTAGATTTTATACGTTGTAATTTTTTCATGCAGATCTGTGTGGTTATCCTTCGTAAGATTGGCTCAACAATCAACATTGTCTCATTGTGTTTTGTTCATTCGGTCCCGCTATGAAGTGTCGCACTTTATGCACAAACCTATGCGAGAAAGTCACTTCTAGCTCCTGCCTACAAGTTGTTGTGCCATTTCATTGTGAAATTTGTGGGGAAACTCCTGACTTGACACAACATTTAACCTAATCTATTGGAGGAACTCTAAACAAGGTGACAAGATGGCTGCAATGTTGAAAAATACTCACAGAAAGGAATACTAGTGTTTGAATTAAATTCTGATTACCTCTCAAAGCTTTGTCACTTTGAATAGAAAAGTTTCTTTCACGTAAAGTTTTGAAATGAGTACTCTTCGTAAAGTTCTAGGACTTTTTTTTCTGAAATCATGTTGGTGCAGAAATGGGGGGTTTGAAGTTAAAGTAATTATTTCATTGTAAAAAGAACTGCATAACGTAAGATTTTGGGGGTTCAAAGACCAATGAACATTTACGAAATTTAGAAAAAAATTTTTATTTAAAATGCCAAAATCCAAACTAACTTGCTCATTATTTCTGCATAAATATGTTCACTTAACACGTTTAACCCAATATAACAGAGCATGGCAATGCAGGCATACATTGTAGCTTAGAAAAAAAATAACCAGCTTTAATTGATATTAATGCCAGATTAATCCTGCTGCCTTCCCAAGTAAAAAGCGTATGAATTCAGTATTTGCAACAAAAAAGTAGAGCAAAGGAATTGACTTAGCAGGATTTGAACCCTGGACTTCTGGGACACCGCTCCATATCTCTATCAACTGATCAATCCTTCTAACGGTCTCTGTGCATGAACAAGCAAGGGACCAATTAGACCCTTCTGTGAAGTCCTCTCCCATGATGCTTTGAACAGTCTCGGCCGTGAGTGGTCGAAAGATTGAACCCCCGACGGAAGTCAGACTTGTGTGCACTTTGTGTACGACGTGCACGCACCTGGAGCCTGCATGGGAGAAGTGCGTGCGTGTTGCCCAATTGTCAGTTGGGCAGAGTTACAGTGATCAGTTTTCCTACCGAAGGCTCAATTTTACTGTTGGTAGTTGTGTTCAGTGGTTGCAGGTTCATATCCCGCTCTAGTCATTTTGTCTGTCAAACCTCACAGATTTAACATAAAATAAAGTCAACTTAGTCTCCCTCCATGTGGTTTATGTGGCAGTTACTTGCATACTTAAAAAAAACCAAACATGATATACAAGTAGTTGGCACTGGTGTAGTCCGTCGGTGGGAGATTTTGAGACACTGGTGGCAGAAGACATACCGGTCCGTTTTCAAAGTATAGCTCATGCTCAGAACTACGCAAGCATGCTCAGAGCAGCGTGCACATGCTCAGAACCGGTAAAAAGGACCGGTATGTTTGTTGCCACCGAGCGTCTCAAAGTCTGCCGTTGCTTACAAATCCTATAGAACCATATAAATACTCACGGGAATTGCATGGGCAGAAATCAAATAGTTGTGTGTCAACAAGAAGAGGTTTAACAAATCCTAAATTAGAAATGTTTGGTTTGTCTTGGCATGGGGACTGTTTGCATGAGTGCTGCATGCTTGGTGACTAAAACTGAAGATAAGTCTTGAAGGTTTGCATGGTGAAGAGGTATAATAGAAAGTAGGTTTGCGGTAGCACCATGGACGTATCTCTTTTGTGAGTATTTGTGGTTAAAAGACCCACAAATACTCACAAAAGAGATACGTCCATGGTGCTACCGCAAACCTACTTTCTATTATAAAACTGAAGAATCGCATTCGCTTTGGTTGTTGGGTCATTCCATGAGGTCGGGGCACAATTTGTGACGGTGTCCATTGTTACGTGGGTTCTGTAAAAATGAACAGCTATTTCTCTGCATGTGGATTCCAAATTGACACTGTTTTACATGCCCCAACCTCATGGAATGACCCTGTTCAAGAAAATCACGTATGATTCTCTTGGGGGAGGGGGCTATAAGTGAATTCTCCACACTTTCAGAACTTTTCGGCAGTGTGTTGACCATTTCATTCAAGCGGTTTAACCCGGACAGTGCCCAAGTGGAAAACGTGTGCCGTGTCGGAGAATTCCGCCGGCAAGTAGCACCGAATCAGTGCAAAACGGAAATGGAAAGTTCCAAGATATCGCAGTCTTTATACTTGTCATGTACATGTGCCTGTGTGGGAATGGTCCACTGCGGACGTAACTGCACCGCAAAATTTCATTTACAATTATTCACGCCAGAGTGAAAACCACAGAATGTATATCGATCTTCTGCTTCACTTCCAATTCTCATCTTATGACCCCTGAAGTCATCCAAAATATTTCTCCCAATCCCTTTAATAAGGAAACAGCCTTTTGGGTGGCCACCTGTGCAGGCCAACTCTTCTCAGAAATGAGAAATAGGATCAGATTAGGAAGATCCTACCGCCTGCATTGCAAACCAAACCTCAAATGACAGGCAACATTTGAAGACTCAAGTGTTGCCATCCCTGAGGGTCCTTGTAGCCCTCTAAAAGTTCTCTTCATCCCTCAAATCACTTTGTTATTTCAGAATCTTCGATAAGCATTTATGGAAATCACCAAATGTTATTATTTTCAATTCATGAACAGACAAGCTTTGTTTTGTTGGCATTGAGACATATTTGATCATTCCTGGGCACTGCTGAGGTTAAAATGCATGTGAAAAAAGCAAAAATGAAATGTTTCCGTTGAAAAACATGTGACAGTCATGTTTCTTTGTGGGTCTGTTCTGGACAGTATGTTGCATGCATATGCAACCCTGATTTTGGCAATAAAACTGTACACAAGGCCCCTCTGCGAGCAGTTTTGTTCTCGTTTTTCCAGTGACCATCATTCCACGATCCAAGCATGCCATCAGTTGAGGAAATGGTCACTAACCTCTTGAAATGGAGGGGTGTTTGCATGCAAAGCTTGTTGCCTGACCTGCTTTTTTTTTAGTCAGAAACATAGGTTTTGCATGACCAGAGTTTTAGCACTGCTAGGCCTGTGTTTTGGCCTTGCCGCGCAAGTTACCAGTGCTGACAACCTTGATGCAATCCCACAAATCAATCAACACCCACAAATAAATCCATAAATGCCGGATTTATGCGTGTACATTTCTCTTTATATCCATTTTAAGTTCCGGAGGTACTGTTCATAAATTTGGCTATTAGGCATAACAAGTTTTAAGTGCATGTTTTATTGAAAAAAAAATCTTTTTTTGAAGGGGGGGGGATTTTGCAAAAATGGTGTTCTTCAAAGTGGTTTTGGCCAAAGGGTTGAGAAGAAAATGCGAATTGCAATTTTTTTTTCGCTGACAAAAAATCAAAGATATTTCCCTCTGCATTATGTCACTCCATGAAAATTTGAAATCTGATGTCAGATGTCTTGATTGAGCAATAAACTAAGGAAGAAAGATGCACTGAAAATGAGTGCAAAGCACAACTTAAGCATTTGAATAGTTTCATGGATAATGTGGAGGACCAAAACAAGTGACTTTTATCGGAAATTGACCAATGATTATATGTTTCTGCTAACTGCTGTATTTTTCTTAATGTTTTCTTTTCCTTTCCATGTGCACATTTTGTCCATCTGCACTGGTCACCGCACTTGTAGAGATCACAGGTATGCACCACATAGACTTGTAAAAAAATAGGACTGTTGTTTAACAAGGTACCGGTTTTTGTCCGGAGCCATTCACAGCATCCCATTCTTGCAGCAATGCTTAACCAAAAGGAAAAGTCTTTGTTAATTGGCTGAAGACAGGATGCAAGTTGCCAGTGTTGATTTTGATGCGGAGGCCACAGATTGAAATATCAGTCACGCTGACACAAGTTGCAACACTGTGAATGTCTCTTGGCAAAAGTCGTTCTACTCCTGCCATTATAGTCGGCAGAGCAGTTTTCACTTGCCTTGTTATTTTGCACCTAGCTCTTCACATTTCAGTAATATATAATCACACCACCAAAGTTATTGAGCACAAAGATGTGTAGATACCTTCACCCGCCATCATTTGTGCACAGCAAGTCCACCATCCTTTTGCACAAGTGCACCCCTGTTTCATAAACACTCACAAGTAAGTACAAATCTTCACTGCCTATGACCATACCAAGTTTCACTTTGTTTCGTCAGATGAGGTTTGAGGACCTTAAGGCCATTCGTCAAAATTTTGTCTCGAAAAGTGATTATGTGTGGGTTATCCAATAGAGTGTGAAAGTGTTTAGCTGCTGTCAGGTAGCAGTCATTTTGTCTCACGTTGGAGGCTTTTTTAATTGCGGATTTTCCCCATGCGACGTCTTCAAGAGTTCCAAGATGTTATTGCAGCTGACATTAGAATGACCTTGGTCCGAGGATATTGCAACGGAGACCAACTCTAGAAGGAGAGCTTACTTCAGTTATGATGCAGTGGATTTTTTGTGAAACTGAAATTACATTTCTTGTTTTGACAAGCAAGAGTGGCTGTCTGGCCGCTGAAACTTTATAGGTTTTGAAAAACTGATTTAACATTCCAATCCAAACTGATTTGATATAACGTCAAGTTTCAATGTAACGTTGTTGTTTTTATACCTCTAGTGTGTGGTATTAGTTGAATTGTTCACAAGAAGGCTTGTTAATTTATAATAAAAAGGCATTTTGGCACTGCACATTTGGGCAATGAATCCGTCAAAGCAACAGCCAAGAAACCAAAGGAAACGCAATCGCATGATTAACAGCCACTTGACAACAGTCAAGTAGACAGACTACTCTTTTGAAATACACGTTACTGTGAGAAAAAGTTCATTGTACCGAACTCAGGCTCAACAAACATGTAAGACACAGTACACTGCACACACAAGAACATTTGTACGTGATTTGCCACTTAGCAACAGAAATGATTTACAACAGTGTGCAGTTTCTAAAGATTACTACACACAAGCCACAGCTTCCAACATGCCTCGGGAAAGCAATCGTCATCTGGTACTCCTGCATGTAGGACTGGTGTTAGTGAAAGATGCTGTTTTATAACACGAAGTTTAGAGTAGAGAAGCAATTTCAATTCAAAGCCGTGTTTCTTTACACCAGACCTCTGCAGAGCAATTCCAACATAGCCCCAAGCCTTCCACGGAAGAATGACGTTTGAGGCCGAGTAAATTACTGTGAATGCTCATGGGCACCTTGAAACGTGCAAAAAAGCTCAATTTCAGATGATCGTCCACTGCTTTTGAAAATTTAAAATCACTTCCATTGATCTTCTGAAAGGGTTTTTGGCAGGGCAAAGATTAGGTGTTGGGCCCTCTTTTGTCAAAAGAATATGAAAGCAGCTCAGAAGAGATGGCTGTTAGATTCCAGAATTCCTGAGTAAACTGAACCGGGCTTTTTGTGTCAAATCCTGCATCTAGAATAAAAGAAAAAGTTGCAAAAGATGCCTAAAAGTGGTTGCAATATGCAAAGCAAATGTTGCAATGAGCACTGTGGCTTAGACGTTCTGAAATTTGAGAGAAAGTGTTCAGTTAAGAAGACAGAAACTTCTGGGATTAGACAGATGGGAGCAGAACTCTGGAGTGATATTTTAGTCAAGACTGGCCTGATTTGAAAACCCAATACTGCAAAATTCAATCTTCAGACTTCTAGCTAAATCCATCGTAAGTCAACTCACAGGTCTAGTCATAAGAAACAAGAGTGAACAATAATGAATAAGGTATATCATCGCTGTTCATTCAAATAGTTTGTGACGTGCCATGAGACTAAACTGACTTGTGGCTGATTTGTGAGAACTTGACCAGACTGCTGCCAATCCACATGCTGGCCACAGTGGGATTTGAACCTAGGTCCCAGACTTACAAGGCGAAGAAAGATCCAGCCCAGCTCCTAGATCATATGGAACGCATGGAGTCCTGCAAGGAAAAACTGAAAAGTAACTCTTTCAAAGTGTTTAGGACCATTGTGGTGATGTTCTTTTGTTGCCACCTTGAAATAGGCCTCCCTGAACTCTGTTTTGGTTCATAACAAAGATCTCAGATCTGGGTTTGTTTTTTCTTCCCCGAAGCCTAACACTGTCAGCACCATTGCAGGAGATTTCTTGAGTGTAGCTAAACCAAAGCCATACAACCGCTTCCTCCTTATTTTCCCCGAGCAAGCAGGAGGGGCATTTCAATAGCTGAATTGTTAACTATGAAAACAGAACAGCGGTCCCTCTAATCCCCTCCCTTAGCTATGATAAATATCTCCCCCTTCAAAAAATGCCACGGCTCGCATTGGAGCAATTTGGGTTATAAAATATGTTATTTTTTCCCCGTTTGTGTTCACCATTGTGTCAGCTTTTTTTTTTTTTTTTCACCCTTAAAAGTGCCCAAGGCCAATAGTGTGGATTAAAACCAAAAGTAAAGAGCATGAAAAATACTTGGTTCTGGTTTGGCAGGTCTCAAAAGGCAGCTGCGTTTGCCAGGAGAAAAAAAAAATGGATGGCTCCTTTTTGGCGATAATGCAGTCATCACAGTGGAGAATCTCTTGTTGGTGGTTCATCACAATAAAAGTTAAGCAAAACAGCAAGTGTTGGGTTAAGACAGTCGGTAGAGTGCAGGCAGAAGATATCACATGCTGTGTGGTGCATCCATCCACATGCTTTTAAGACTGTGGTCATTGTTGAACACCAAAGCAATACCCCCATTGAAAAACTTTGGCTCCACCCACTGGCCAAGTCATAGTAAGTAAGACAGTTAGATTCCTGGCGTGTCCTTTTCCGCCTGGTCATTGCCCTGTATGTCTCCAACCAACTCCCCCCCCCATCCCACCCCCGACACTCAAAAGTCTAGAAATAGGCGTTTTATCGGTCACCATCACACTACCTACTGCAGAAACTCTGCCAGATCCTATTTAACTTGCCCTTGCATATCTGTCGACACTCTGCGAGTGGTCTCCTCCAGGCTCAATCATCCTCAGTGGCAAAACCTCTAATGAGTTTCTTTGGAAGAATTCTCTCTGGAGGCTTTCCTCCCCTCCTGCCCAAAGAGTTTTGAAAAAAAGTACAAGTACCTGCTGAACTTTTTCTTCTTCGACCTCAGAAGTTCAAAGCACACCGGTGGTTTACCAAGTGTGATTAAGATCGTGCGCAAATGTATAGAAAGCAAGCGTTGAAGTGAAGGTTAGACAGACAACTTGGTTTGATAGACCTTTTTACACTAATACGGTTTTGTCTCATTCCTGAATGGTTTCAAAATTCCCTGAAGGTATTCCGTTGGACCAGAGAAGGGGGAAGGACAGAAATTCTCTCTGGAAAGAGATTTGCATTTGGGATGTGTCAGTTTGTATAAAGAGACAAATACTTTCCAAAGGACATTACATTCACTCATTCTCTCTAGTATCACACATCAGTGGAACACGCTATTAGAATCGACTTCACTAAGTTTTCAAGAAGCAACCCTTATCTTTATGTCCATCGGGCCATCTACAAACTTGGATTCAATGTTACACACTCTTCTTGTCATTTATGATCTTTCAAACTGTCTTTGACATTTATATTTCCTGCAACATTTTCCTTGTTTTTTTTGTCCACTCTCTTTCCTTCTTTTTCTTTCACCTTGTACTAGTTTCTTCTTTTCCTCTCCATCTGTTTATCTCATCTGCCCCAGTATTAAGCACTTCCCTCCGAGGCGTCCTTTATCTCTCTCGGGGGAGAGCCAATGGCTCTCTCACCAAACCGAGGTGTTAAAACACTGAGACCCAGCTTCAGTCAAGAGGTTTCCGCCCGCCCTTTGAAGTGTCGGCCAACGTGTTTCCGCAATCTCTTTCCATCCGATACTATCACCCGATTTTCTCCCTCTGAATAAGTTGCCTTTTTGTCGACGCTCACCTACATCCAAACGGTCATTTTCCTATGGCAGCGTTGTTGTCCGTGTTGAATAATAACTGAAATTCTTTGTGTGATTTGTCGACTAACAAAAGTGAGAATACCAGATGTGATCAGATCTCACAAAATGAGTTTTGAGCGCATTTCTCTTGATGTCTGTTTGTGTACGAAACGGGCTTAGGATACTCAGTTTGCCACATTTGATATATGACTCATTTTGACATCCTAATCAATTATAATGGGCGAGACTGATGACAGTTCCTATTTATTTCTTATGTGCACAATTTTATTTAAAGCTGCTATCAATGGTATCCCTATGAGCTCGTGACTCATTTGCTTTGATTGGGTCAAAAATAGGAAATGTCTTTTGGGGGTTCCTTATTTGATTAATATTTTCTGTGAATTGCACCGGAATGAGAACTCTGTTCATAATTTTTGGAAAATTTGAGGCCAAAATTTTGTACATATTCCACCTTACAGACTGATCTGAGAAAATGCTACTTGGCATATCATGCCATGCCATTCCCTTGGTCGAAGAGGAATGCAACGTGCATGCATACCATCTGCCCATTAGCCACCTTAGTTACGGCTTTTAATTCTAGTCGGCAAAGTTGCGCAAAACTCAGTGAGAATGGAGACTTTCAAGGGATGTTTAAAATGTTACTCGCGTGAATACTCAAATATTTTGTGAGTACATCTCATTTGTCAGCTTTCTGAGCAGAAGCAACGATGTATAACTTGACAAATATCATATTTCAGTCGGCCTATTTGCCAGAGGAATGAAGTTGGCTCCTAATCTGAAAAAGCCAACAGGGTCAACAACATGAAGGTTAGCATACTTTCTAAAAAAAAAGCGACAAAATTACACTGGTAATATGATCGGCATGCAACAAGTCACTGTCTTGTCAGCTCTGAGTCATGGTTTAAAAAAGGGGAAAAATCAATTCCCTGGAATGAATTCTAGCACGATTCCATTAGTGCGGAGATGTCTTATCCGCAAAAAAGAGACTCGAGTCTCGATAAGTTGTCTCCTGATTTAATCTGTGCATAGCGAGCTGCCGAAGTGGCTCTTTTTTTTTTTTAGCTCAGACTCCAGATTCTGGGTTCAAAAAAAGGATGTCGGGCAAAGTGGCCAAGCGAATATGCTAACTGTCCGAAAGTGCTGCGGGACGCATGGAGCGATTGTCGTGCCAAATGCTGTCACCGCGGAGTGGCTGTTTTCCTCTTGTCGTACTGACAGACAGCCGAGTCGATGTGCACAGGCCCACACTCTTGAAAGCAGAGAGGTCACAGAGGATGGAAACTGGAGTCACAGGAGACTTCACCTTTAAAGAAACAACAGCCACAGATGCCTTTAGTGTGAAAAGTGCTCCAGGACATCCAACCCTCTCTCTTCGTGGCTGAAAGGCTATCACTGCGCAGCAGATGTTTTTCCCTTCCCTGGGTCAACTTTTTCTTTGTTCCCTCCCCCCCCCTTGCCTCTCACCAGGCTGGTCATTACCCCCCTCCCATTCAGGGAACCGGTTTTTGCAAAGCCGGTCCCTTAAAGTACGGCCAGTGCATGCAGGGCTCCTGAAGAATAACACATGATTCATGGCCCCAACAGGGTTTGGATTTTGTGTAAACGGAAATCAGAAATTGTCACTTTCATGCCCGGCTGGGCCTGTGTTGGAAGGGTTTTTCCCCCTAGGGAAACGATGCATGGAACATGTACATCAAGATGAATTCCACGAGACTTGTAGTTAAAAAACATACATACATATGTCACACAAGGCAATTCCAACATGCAATAACTGACAACTGAAAATACAGCTTACAGTTTTGGAAATTGAAATTTGGATTACGTTCACATGAAGTGCTTATTTTCTGAAAGCAGAGCCAATGGTGTTAAGAGTAGTTTGCAAATAAGACTCCTAGCTCTCAGTTAAATTTTTTTGCGTCCTTATTATTCACATCAGTGTGTTGATTTCAAAAGAAAAATTGCGTTCATTGTCCAAAAATACAAATCCTTAGTTTGAGAGTTTATTTTCAAATGTAATGATGGTCCTTTTGGTACATGTTGGAACCCCACGCACCCTCTTCTGTTTACCTGAAGTCAGTCTCAACAGGTTTTATGTAGTTAACCACAACTGAATCAATCAATGAAGTGAAACACCGAGTTTAGGGACACACCAAGTATGTCATATTTGCATAGAATGTTGGGTATGTTTCGTCTTGGAGATAAACCCTTTAGTTGTTGGTAGGTGATATTTTTGTGAAACTAAGTCTTCTTTTTTCACTTATTTTGCAGGAATTCCTCCTCCGGAGCACTCAATCACTAACAGCCCACCTCCTGAAGAGCCTCCTCCAGGTCAGTATCAGACTTGTTTGCAAGATGACAGTAAAACTTTCTGGCTGTATTGCATTAACTGTTACTGCTCGGTACCCCTCAGGCAATTTTCTGGAGATTTTTGCCCTAATTTTTTTGTGCCGAGATTACCAGTGCTCTTTATTGCCTCGTAGCAATGTGTG